AGAAAGCTCACCAAACATTACTAGAAAGCTCACCACATATATTGAGAAAGCTCACCAAACATTACTAGGAAGCTCACCAAAATTATTTTAGACTAAGACTTTGTTTTTTGCATGAAAGCTCACCAAATATATTGAGAAAGCTCACCAAACTTAACTACAAAGCTCACCAAACTTAACTAGAAATCTCACCAAACATTACAAGAAAGCTCACCAAATAATTTAAGACTAAGACTTTGCTTTTTACATGAAAGCTCACCACATATATTGAGAAAGCTCACCAAACATTACTACAAAGCTCACCAAACATAACTAGAAAGCTCACCAAACTTAACTACAAAGCTCACCAAATATATTGAGAAAGCTCACCAATTTTTTATACCCATGTATTGGGTTATTAACAAGAAGGCAATTTTGTGGCGCATTTGCGGAAGGAAATGGATGAGAAGTGCCCGGTGTCAATTCTTTTTACTCTTAAATTTTTATCACAATCTAATACTCCCTTCGTCCCGGTATATTCGTCCACTTTTGACTTTTGGAACTATTCATCTAAGAACTTTGACCCATCAAATTCTCTCAATGTGTAAGCCTAAATATAGTCATGTGTGATCTTGTTTGATTTGTCTTAACATATAGATTATTAATATATAATTCCTATAATTTTTAAATATACAAATTATAAGATAAAATGGATTAAAGAAATGTATTGCATGGTGTCTAAAAATGAAAGTGTACAAATACTCTCGGACGGAGGTAGTATATTGTTTCCGTAATTTATTCTCAAAGTTTAAAATGTTTGCTCCAAAAGTCAAAATGGGAAAAAATATAGTCCTCGTTTAAAAGCATTAACGAAAAAAAAAGTTGGCCCCGAACTCGACCTAGTGTTGTATGAATTTTGCAATGTTAGAATAAGTGTCCTTCCCTAGTAATATTTGATCACCTTATAGAAGTAATATTTTAACAGCATGGTTACCAACTTTGAAAACAACACTCTCAATTTAAAGAAGTAGAACAGAAATCCAAATCAAAAGAAGAAAATTGACATGGAGTTTATAAATATTAGTCATAGAAGATAGAATAAAGTGCTAATATGATACACATCAAGTATCATTTCCATTTGAACAAAAAAAAAACTCTGGCTTAAAGTCTTAAAATTTCTAAATCTACTCTTTCAACCAAAAAATAAAACCTCTCAAAGCATTCAACTCCCCATTTTTTTTCCATAGTCCGCAATAAAAAAGACACTAAGACGGAACAGTAGGCATATACAGAGCTCAAATTCCAACTTCGGCTTTTGCTAATCTCTAAACAGTAGCTGCTAGACCTCCCTATTGTTGTTTTGCTTCCAAGTTAACAGGTGATAGTCACTGTAAAAAGAGCAAAGCAAATCAGCCTCCCATATGACCAAAGCAACAACATTAATAATCCAAATAATAAGCAACATAAGTGTACAAAAACTATTCAGAAGAAGTGTCGAGCTGATTCTAGAACCAGATGAAGAAGATGGAGATGGTTTTGGTGTGTTAGATTCCCACATCGGAAAATTACACACGATGAACATGCCCTTCATGAGCTTAACTAACTGAGAAACTCCTACCCAATCATAAATTTACAACCAAAGAACCAAACTCAACTGAAAGCTGAGCTTTAGGACCTCTGAGTCAGCAAGATCAACAAGACTATGTTATCAATTCAAAGACTCAGGACTGCTATGAATTGGACTGGATTCAAATTGATGAAGAAGATGCATCTTAGAAATATGGGAATCCAAAGAATTATCACTGTGCTAAACTATTTCTGGATCAAATTGAGTCGTGTTTGTTCAAAAACCCACTAGAAAGAAAGAAAAACCCAATTTTTTTTACAAAGAAATTGACAGTAACATCAAAGAAAGAAAGAAATCTTGACACCTAGATATGAATTCTTCAGAACACAGAATTAAACAAAAAAGAAGAATAAGAAGAAGAAGGATTTTACAGGATTGCAGTTTACCGGAGCTCACTGCACGGCTTGAACTTGGCTGTTTGTAATGGTGATTCAAGAAACCCTAGCAGTCCAATTGTAAAGATTTTGAGCACTTGGTTACTCTTCATCACTGCTGCTTTTTCTATAAAAGAAGGATTATTAAAATCTAAATGTAAGTTAAATGAAACAACTAAAATGAAACATTTAAAAGTGACATGTTGTTTTTCAATGGACAATTACGGCTGTCATGCGTAGTCATTTTGTTGCATGAACGACAACGTCGAGTGTGCTTTTTTTTTTCTTGACCCTTCTCCACACCACTCTTAATCCTCTTTTTCCTTCCCTTCGTGACTCCAATCGTAGGAGGATGGATTTCAACTCTATCAGGCACTTTGCATTCAAAATAAGTTTCCAAGTCTTTCCTTTTATCATTTCCAACTGTTGGCCCCATATCAGTGAGTTGATGCTCAAGGGAAGTCGTACTCTCTAAGATCACTTTCAATTTCTCATAATCTCGCCCTGCCAGAAGCATGCAGTTGTAAAACTTGCACCAGATATTAGATAAAGTTTGATTCTCTAGCTTCGTTGTGTTAAATGTTTCATCAAAATGCACCGTGCCTTCAACAACAGCTCTTTTCTTTGCATATTTTGTCCATCTATCGAAAATATAAACCTTTGGCAGCTCTCTAAACCCTTGCCCATTCAAAACTGATAGAATATGCCTACAAGGGATTCCTTGTGACACAAAAAAATGGCAGGAGCATGTGGCAGCTTCTTCAGTCAGATCACTATAGCGGACATTGTACAGCTTCCCTTTTGCACCACGATTATCTCTTACGGATGTCTTTGTTTGACCGTCAACAGATTCCATCCCTTGGATACCACAGTAGCATAAGCCATTCCAAAATTCTTCTTGAAACAAGTAAAAATTGGTGTGTGTGTGTAAACCTCATTGTCACAGTAGCATAAGCCATTCCATCCCTTAGAACGGGATTTGAAGTTAATGACGCATTCTATTGTTTGTACTCATTGTCACGCTGAGTATCAATGGCATGCTGAAACCGCACCCAAAATTCTACCAAACTTATTAGTTGGTTTGTCAAACAACTGAACGTTTGGTTTTGGCTTTCTGAACCCGACGTTGTTGTTACAACAGCACCTAAGTATGTGGCATCAAAATATACCTGGGCCCATTGCTCCTTTATTGAAAAGATATGCGTGAACCAATCATTACACAACAAATCAAAATCAGTCATTATGCGTAGCCATTCCTCTTCAAATTCTTCAGGACTCTCTGAGAACCAAACACAGGATTTCAAACGCGTATGGAAGTCTTCAGATGAATTCACAGTGGGGCCCACATATTCCGGAACTTTTTTTAGTATATGCCAGATGCAAAACCTATGTATTGATTTCTTGAACACTTCAGAAAGGGCTAACCTAATAGAATGGTCCTGATCAGTAATAATACTTATTGGTTGCTTCCCTCCCATTGACTCTAAGAATTTTGAAAAAAGCCAAATAAAGGAGTCTCCTTTCTGATTACAAACTAACGCTGCCCCAAAACAAATCAGCTTACGGTGGTTATCCACACCAGTAAATGGGCAGAAAGTAAGATCATACTTATTCGTGCCATGTGTTGTGTCAAATGAGAGTATATCTCCAAATCAAGAGTAATTTAAACGAATAATGAATCAGCCCAAAACACTCTCTTCAAGCGACTCTCTTCATCCACTTCATATGCGAAGTAAAACCCTGGCTCTGTCTCTTTTCTCCTCTTTAACGTGTCAATAAACATATGGGCATCATTGTCTTTAATGATGGCCTTCAAGCTTCTTTGACAGTTCAAAAAATCCTTTTTCGTACAACCCACATTTTGATGACCCATCATCACCTCAGCCGTAACATCAAAAACCTTAGAGGGACCTACATTGACTCTACTAGCACTACACAACATGTGCTTGTGCGATGTAGAAACTTCCCTCGATGAAGATAGGAAATGTCTTCTGCTCGGAGTAACCATGGGATGGACATGGGACTCTTCGAACTGAACAATCTTACAACCC